TGGCCAGTAAACATTACGGTAACTGATTATTCTCGCCTCTTCTTGCTGTCTTCAGTCCAGCAATAAATGGCATGACAGATCTTTACTATCTTCCTTAAACAACAGGTTTCCAGATCCCTTCTGTTCAAATGTAAGCCCAAACTTGAAGTTTACCTTTTTATGGAAACACCTGGATTTGTTTAAACCTTCTGTTTGTGCCATGGAAAACCCACAGAAGGACAGAGGTGCTTTTTCTGCTATCCCTGCTTTTGAGGGCTGCTGTTTCCCATGGTGGGAAATTGAAATACTCAACAATAAATGTTTATTGCTTTAACACTTAAATATTTGAAATCAATTAAGGGAGGATTTTTCATTTGAGTGTTACTTTATTTAACTGTTATTAGTTCTGTGGTTTCTAGGTTGCCACATCCTGACCAACAAAATAGTTGGAATTTATTCTGGGCTGTATCATTTCTTGAAGTCTAAGGGATAAAAAGGGATGCTTATCTCCTGTCAGCTCCTTGGAGAGCTATGAGGAAATGAGCAATAAAAGGTTCTTTGAGGCTTTTTTAACTGTAGTTTATCATCTATTATAGTTACTGATGTGTGGAAACCAACAGAAATATTTTACATGTTTATAGTTACAAAGCCCTTAACAGCTGTAGCTACGAGCTGAGCACTTACAGCTTTTTGAAATGTGTTTTTATAAATGTAACATTAAATCATTGTGATTCTGTAAACCATTGCCCTAAGAAAACTCCTGAGATAAAAATATGTGCATTGATCTACTCAGTCAGGGCTGGCTTGTGGGTTCTCACTTGCTGTCACTGTTTTCCAACTCCACCAGTAGAGCAATGCAGGAGGTGGGCTGTTTTGGGGCAGGGTTGATGATGGCCAAAATGCACGAAGCAGCACTGTGTTTTATTTCACCTTGCTGGATGCTGCGCTGGATGGGAAATCAGGGTGGGGAGAAGAAAACTGGGTGAGTCAAGGGCACTCAGCATAATGAAGGGCTCAGGACTGTGTAAACCTCCGTCCCCTCCTTAGGACTGGAGGACACAGCAAATGTCTCTGTATTTCTTTATCCCTGAGGGCACCAGATCTGGAATTTGCAGAGACTCAGTCCTCTGGAGCACTGGGCAAGCGATTACTAGGGAGAGAGCTTTCTGCCCCCAGGCTGGCTGGACCTTCATTACAATTTCCTGTTCCTCATGGGTCTTTTCATACAATTTTAGGACAAGACTGCACTCTTCTCTGAGTGCATTTCTCCTCTCTGCATTTCTCTTCTCATCTGGCTTGGGTGCCCTTCTTGCATCTAATGCTCTCCAGTGGAAATGACGAAGCTAATGAGCCATTTGGATCCAGTGCAGAGGATGGTATGAAGGGGACTGTTCTCAGCATTTCTGGTTAATAGTACTGCCAAGGGCAAGCAATAAAACAAACACATTGAGAGCACAGACATGTCAACTCTTGTCTGCTGCGTTAGAAATTCACTCTTTGGCATCCAGATTGCTGTTCACACTACTGTCGAGCCTGTACCATCCACACTCACACCGTAGCAGCCCTGGTATGGGTGGGTGGCTGGTCTGGAAAGTCTGTTCCTCTGCCAGGGATGTTCCCTGGAGGCCCCTGAATGCCCCTGGCATGATCCAATGTGCAGATTTATCCATCACACACTTGCATGCCTGTCTCTGGCCAAACACGAATCCCATGCATTGGGATTCCAGTAACTCAAGAAGTCTGAGAATATGCAGCAGTAAAACAAACATCAGCCATTCAACTTCCAAAAATTGCATTAAGCCAGAAGAGACAATGTTGATTCTTCAGGTCTGTTTTAAATCAACCCAAGTATTATTCTGAAGCCAGAGCTATAATTCAGTAAAACTTGATGCAATCTTGGAAAGCCATAGAAAGCTTTAGGAAATACCACTGGAAGTTGAGACCTACAGATGCAGCAATAATCTGCATTTTTAAACTAAATAGACATGCCACTTAAATAGTAATTGAAGCACACTGCAGAGGATGAAGGGTTACCTTTTCAACAAAAATCCTTACATTTAGAAGCCTTTGTCTGCATGCAAAATGTGAACCAATTTCCCAGTGCTATTTGCAGCAGAAATATTCATATAGAGGAAATACACATCCATGCTGCCATGGGAGTTGGCTCAGTGATATTGCTGATTGCCATACTTTGGTGATCCTTTAGGCTACCAGGAAGGCTGACTTCCAGGATATTCAGTTCTGCAGAGGAGTTTGGAGGATAGGGGGTAAGGTGCTAGAGAGAGGCCTGCCCTCCCTTCAGGGGCTGCTGCTCCTGCTCTAAGGAAAAGAGATTAAAATAGTTTGTGACATTTTGGATGAAATGTTACATTTTTGCATTGGCTTTGCTTCCCCTATAATTTTCCTTAAATGGAACATTGATAGCTACATTCCGACCATTTTGCACAAATATGAATTGAGTTTCACTGCACATTGTCCTTGAGAGGGAAGGTGGCTGATGCACAAAAGTTAAATGACTTCACATGTAAGAAAATCTATTGTAGAGCTAGCACTGAAGGACACCAGAGCTTCTTCCCACCTCTCCTCTATCCATTTCTGTGTCGTGTTTCTGCCCAAATGGGAAGGGTAAAAAATCATAGATTCATAGAATTATTAAATTGGAAAAGACTGATTGGTTTAATAGCGAAGAGTCCAACCATTAGCCTAACATTGCCATGTTCACCACCAAACTGTGTTCCACATGGGATTTTTTTTTCACACTTTCAGGGATGGTGATTCCGCCACTTCCTTGGCAGCCTGTTCCAATGTCTGACCACCTGTTCAGTGAAGAAATTTCATTTAATATTACAGAACCAATTAGGTTGCAAAAGACCTCTGAGATCAATGAGTCCAACCTATGATCGAACTCTGCCAAGTCAACTAGACCATGGCACTGACCCTCCCCTGGTGCAACTTGAGGCCATTTCCTCTCATCCTGTTACTTGTTATCTGGGAGAAGAGACCGACCCCCACTTTGTTACAACTTCCTTTCAGGTAGTTGTAGGGAGTGAGGCTCCTCTCCTGAGGCTCCTTTTGTCCAGGCTAAATAATCCCAGCTCCCTCAGCTGCTGCTCACCAGACTTGTGCTCCAGACCCTTCACCATCTCTGTTCCCCTTCTCTGGACACGCTCCAGCCACTCAATGTCTTTCTTGAAGTGAGAGGCCCAGGACTGGACACAGTATATGAGGTGTGACCTCACTGGTGCCAATCACTTCCCTGCTCCTGCTGGCCACACTGTTCCTGATGCAGGCCAGGATGCCATTGGCCTTCTTGGCCACCTGGGCACGCTGCTGGCTCATGTTCAGCTGCTGCCGACCACCACCCCCAGGTCCTTTTCCCTCTGGCAGTGTTCCAGCCAATGTTCCCTCCCCAAGGCTGTGGCACTGCAGGGGGTTGCTGTGACCCAAGTGCAGGACGTGGCACTTGGCCTTGTTGAACCTCATAAAATTGGCCTTGACCCATCAATCCAGGCTGTCTGTATAAAATAAAGCATGAAAATTTCTTGTGATATTTGCTTCACAGCTTCTTTTTTACAGACAAGGTGATGTATGAGTAAGATAATCTTGTTTTCATTGAAACATCAGGATGATATTATTATTCCTTTAGGCTCCATATTTTTATCATTAAAAACACAGTTCTAGACACTACACACATTTTTTGACCTTTTTAACAAACTCTGTAATCTTATGATTAGATACAGAGAAGGCTTAATGTCTTTGAGGAATCAATATTGTCTTTCTTTTCCTGCACTTTTTTACAACATTGTGACTTTTTCTCTGATTAACTCTTTTAAGATATGCAGTGATGTTGATCAGAGTATTTCTGTCAAGCGTTTTTAAATTGAAAATGGCCTACGATGATACAAAACTTCCAATGTTTGAATTTGTTACAGCTTTTACAAAAAAATTTAGCATATTTGAAAATAATTAATAAGCCATAGCTGCTGAAGGAAACTAAAACCAGTCACATGGCAGTGACATTTTAATCTCTCCTAGTACTGACTTCATCTTCCCTGATATTATTTCCTAGCATTTAGATGCTTTGATCTAGTGAAGTAATAAGTCCAGACTTTGCCCTAAGCCTGGAAACATGATGCATATTTTTAATGTGACTACCAAGAGTTGACTAAAATGTTTTCTACGAAAATGTTCAGGACAAACTAAGGACAAAAGATTGTAATAGCCAGAGCTGTCTTCAATAGAATCATAAAATGACCTGGGTTAGAAGGGACCCTAAACACGTGTTCTCTGCTGTGGACAGAGACACCTTTCACTACGTCAGATTGCTCAGGGCTCTATCCAGTCTGGCCTTCCACACTTCCAGGGAGGGCACATCCACAACTTCTCTGGGAAACCTCCTCACCACCCTCACAGTAAAGAATATTTTCCTAATATCTAATCTAATCTACTCTCTTTCAGTTCCCATTACCCTTACATGCCCTTGTAGTCTTCTCTTTCTTGTAGGCTCCCTTCAGGTACTGGAAGGCTACATGTAGGTCATGCTGAAACCTTCTTTTCTCCAGGCTGAGCAAATCCAGTTCTCTCAGCCTTTCCTCATAGGAGATGTTCTCCATCCCTTTAATCATCTTGGTAGCTCTCCTCTGGAGTCACTCCAACAGCTTGATATCCTTTGCTGTGCTGGGTCCCCAGAGCTGGATGTCCCATACTGTTGGCAACCCACCACTGATATAATAAAATAGCATTGTTATAAGAAGAGAAATCTCCTCTTTGTAAGAAAAATTATTAATGTAGGACAACAGAATTTCACGGATTTGAAGCTTGCAGTGACATTTCAAAAGAAATTATGGAATATTAACCAGACTAATTCTAAGAAGTGTAGGTTTTTTAAGAGTGCTGAGTGAGATGCTGTGAAGAGTTCTGGAGGGTTTGCCTGCTCAGGAGTTAATAGTACACCTGTATAAATAATCTAACAAAAAAACCCTCTAATGCCTAACTGGTTTTGCTGCTTTCTTTCTCCTCAGGTTTGCCAGTTTGTTGTATCTGTCAACGGCCTCAATGTTCTCCATGTGGATTACAGGACAGTGAGCAACCTCATCCTGACTGGCCCTCGAACAATTGTGATGGAAGTGATGGAAGAAATGGAGGCCTGAGAAGGCAAAAAACCCTCTTACTGGATATTTTTGTGAGAGAAATGGTGACAACCATGAAGTGACATGACACAAGGCAGCAGGACGTTGCTGTGTCTAAATAGATGATTTTGCTTTTAGGGAAGGGGACTCTCTTTCATTTAACAATAATAGCACTGGTGATTATGCTAAGATGTGAACAACAGATACCAGCATATTTTCACTACAGATTTCTCTTTGCCTGACAGAAACAAGATTAGGGCCTTTAGATTGTCTGTCCAGCCATGTCTGCATCAGTCAGAATGGTTTCCAACCTAAGAGGTTGTGCATATTTCCTCATAGTCCACCACTGGATCAGAGCACTTCAGGAGGTGAAAAAGCCAAACACAGTGGGGTTAGTATGTCACAGATGGTTTGCATGGCATATTTACATTGGTAAGTGTTGTCCTGGTGTCCAGCTTTGTCCCTGGAGCATGTGCAGTCACAGTTGCTCTCTCCTTGGGCCAAGGGACAGTTGACTAAATGCTGGCTTGATTGCAATCAAACACAATTGAACTGCAAATGCATGAAAAAAAGGTGTCTGTGCTCTGTAGATGATATTCTGGCCTGAATGTTCGGGCCTAACTGAATACACAGGTTAGTCTAGAAAGAAAATGGGAAAATGTGTGGTACTTTTACAAAATCTGCCTTTGAAAATTGGTCTTTTGGTTTCAATGCTTACTTAAAAGATTTAAACACTGGTTTAGGTTCTTGAGTATAAGATACTGATTTTGAGGTTTTTTCCATATCTGTAAATGGAAGGTGCCTCAGGCTTGCTGTTTATCACTTTGGAGAAATTTTGGACACCTTTATTCCTAAAAGAAGAATATTTGGCAGGTTGCAGTAGGGAATTCACAGTGTTAGCATTAGGAATGATACATCCACATGCTCCACTAGCATAAGTACACTTCAAATTGAAGCAACGTACTTGAATGTACATTAAGCTTGTTAGCACTTTTCAATCATCTGATGTTTTGCAAAGAACCAACTTGCCGCATGAGCTGCGTTTGACACTTTTACTAATAAAATGTATTTAACTGACTCTTACTCCTTTTCAAACAGTAGGGTTTTGTCATTGATTAAAAAAAATCATTTATACAAGTTTCATATTCTACAGTTAGATGACTCCTCAGCTCGATGACAGGGGGACTGCATGGGTTTTCTTTGATCTTTGAATGGAATAAATACATTCTTCTCCACAGAATTATAAATGTATTTTGCAGACTTTCTCTGCTGTCTAAATTTTACAATTAAAGCTTGACTTTCTGTATGGGCATACCACAAATCGTTCAATTATGGGGTGGGGAAAGTATTTTTTCCTCAAATAATGTTGAAATATGTTTTGTATTAAAAATTGTTCTCACTAAATAAATTGCTCTTCCAGTATGTTTTTCACTCAAACACTTTTACATCAGAGATGCGGCAGGTCTTCAAAATCACACGTGCCTGCAGCTTTGTGGGTAGAAGTCCCTGTGTTCTTTGTTCCTGATACAGTATACCTGTGGTTGATTTTTCACCATGAAAGCTTCTCATATTCCACTAATGTGCAGCAGTGCAGAGAGATATGAAACTGCACCTGCTGACTTGATATTAGCCAGGCACAAGACTGTTTGAAAGATTTGTTCACACTGTCATCTACCATGACAGTTGTTTATCCCAATTGTACTCCACAAAATTTTGTAACCCATACCAGATTATCTTCTGCAGTTCATCTAAAATAAACAGTTGGGCACAAAATGTTATATGAGATCGTAACCACTGTCGATGGTATCCACTTGGAACAGTTGGAAAAAATAATTCCAGAAATGTTTCAGTATGCTACAAGTTTTTTTTATTTTGTGAATCCAGGAATGCTTTTTTTTTTTTTCCCCCTCCCCTGCGTTGTTTCGGTGGCTCGGGTGGTATATACTTTGTACCCCTTTGAAATATAAATTCTGCATGTTAGACTAAGTCAAATATTAAAATGAGAAGGATTTTCTTAGCAAAATGCTAATGATTCTCTCTAATGCCATTGTGGATTCTTCTGTATTACATCTCTTGCCGTAGTTAATATTCTGCTACAACTTCTCTGTAGCTTACAGATAATTAAGAAACTGGGTCAGAATTGGGCTTAATAATGCATTACAGAGTGCACTTTAGACTGGAGCAAAAGGAGTGGGAATGGGGGCAGGGAAAAATCTGTGCATTTCCCTATGTTACAGATTGAAGATGGCATCTTGTTTTGCAAAATACATTAGTCTCTATCACAATTTGAGCACGGTTACTTGCCTGCTTTTAATGGGGATTTCCATATGGTGGTCTCAACTTGATTGGCAATCCGGATCTTAATTAATTCTTTCCCTCTTCGATGTGACAAAGGTATTCAAATTATCTCTACAGTGAAATTTTGTATTTTTGAAAAGAGGATGCAAAGTAGACAATTAAGCTGTGTGATGTATCATTTCCAATTAAGTTGTGGTTTGTCTGCACACGGTGCTGCATATGCTCCGAAACATCCCACAGGAGTTAGTGTCAAACTCTCACGCACTTCAGAGGGCACAGAATTTTGAATATAACAGAGCACCTTGCTTCCTTGCAAAGTGCCAGGGGAAATGTAAGATTATTCACAGAAGTGAGGCATTTCAAGAGATGCATGAATATCACAGTGTGGACTGAAGCAAGAAACCAGAGAAGGAAAAAAACTAGCATCAGCAGTAATAGCTTCATTAAAAAGTCAGGCATTTCTGCAAGTCTTACTCTGTTATGTGATCACATTTTTGGTTACTATAGATCTTGTAGATCCTCTAATAAATCTTTAAGCCCTAATAATACAGATTAGTGCCACCTCTCTGCACGTGAACATTTGCAAATCATTTATGAAACATCTTCAAGCAATATAATATTTAATTAAATTCAAGTAGCAGTTAAGATAATTGGAGCATTAAATCAGGGCAATATTTCTCATATTTTTCTTCTGCTAAATTTCCTACAAGATACAGTGTATTTATTATCTTCATCAAGATCAAATACCATATGTATAACATTGAACACTACTGTTTCCGCAGCTTGTCCCATGGAAGGCATTTCATTCATGAAATGATGAAATAAACCACTTCAGGTGTATCAGAATTTGATTCTCTGCATTTTAGGTCTCACAGAAGCTGAAAATAAAATTTTCAGAAAAAGACATAGTGGTGTCATGGCAACATCTGAAATACCAGGGGGTCTGTTCTACTATACCCTCTTCTATGAGGTTACCTTCAGGAAAAGGTTTGGGAGGAAGAAGTCATGCAGCAGGACTGCTTCTCTTGGTGTTTTTATTTTGATTTTTGGTTATATGCTCACTGATAAGCACAGAGATGTGTCAAATGCTGTCCTACAGTTAGTGGTTTAATGGTCAGCAGGTCCCCTTAGCACAATCTAGATCTTGAAAATTGCCCCAGTGTAGTTCAGAGAATAACATGAGATGCAAAGTTGGGCACAGGAGTGGTGGTGTGCACAGGCTTTGTTGTGCCTCTTGGCCTTAGGACCAGAGAATAATCCTGATTTTATGTACCAACACAGACATAGCTAAAGAGAATAGTCTGAGGATTGGGAAGAATAAGGACAACTGACTTCTGCACTGACAGCTATGATGCATGGAGACTTCCTTTTCCCTATGGATGGAAAGAGAATGATCAAATTATGGGATAATATTCTAAAAATTTTAGATAACACTTGGAATTAAAGACTAATTTAAAATGTTAATTTTGCTAAATAAGTATTATTCTAAATTTAGAGACAGGAAAAGTGAGGCAATATGTTTTGCAGAAATGTCTGCCTAATGCAAGACAGACTGAGAAATCAATTGTTGCAATTATGAGTATTTTCTTCCCACTGTATAATTAGAACTAGACCATTTGTGTAAGTAAAAAGGCATGTGTATGTCACATGTATAAGTACAGCTAGACCACACCACTCTTCAAACAAAGTGAGAGAACTTCTAACCTTTTACAATGAAACTGCCATTAAAGGTTTCCATAAACCCCCCTTTTTGAATTTGCCTTTCTTTATCTGGTGAGTGATGTAACTTATATTTTTCACTTATATGTGTTATAAAACCAGAAATCGTAACTGCCAATGCACTAATTCCCTTTGTATACACATAGTGCAGATAAAAATATCATTAATGTTCCAGAGAGGCTGAGTGATTTAAACCATTAAATGTTTCTACAAACTTTTACATAAATATTTATAATTTTTAAAAGGAGCCATTAATGTAAGAGGGAATTTAAGAACGTCAAAGGATATCACAGTGATACAACTAATTTATACTATAAAGGCAGTGTTTCATGTTTAGTTACTAAGTCTTTGTACTTGCAATTCTGCAGAAAACTCAGAAATATTCAGAAGGGAATAGCTGTAACTGTCCTCTAGAAAAATTGGCTGTTGTTTTGCAGTTAGGTATCCATTCTCATATTGGCCATGGGAGTTGTGAATTTCCAGTACTGTTGAAACTCATATTTCATAAACACACACTTGAAATTAAATGTTTAGCTTTAAGAGCGTGTTTGAAGCAGACATTGGAAGTGCAAATCATTGTAATGCCTCTTATACAAAAATGCTGCCACATACCCATAGGTATCCTCTGTCAAAGTAACTCTTGCTAAACTTAGAGTACAACAGTTGCCTCTTGTCTTTTGTATGGCCTTGTCAAATAATAATTTCTTTCCAGAATTTGCAGTTAATTTGCAGAGGAAAATTCTCTTTTTATGTTCAACATCCCACTTCTGTTCCTAAGACACTTAGACCCAGAGACATTGTAGAAGATGGTCACTAGACCATGGTACAGAGATAGCTGTTGGTATGCTTACCACTTCAAAGAGTCCTTTACATCATGCCTGAGCAGCTGAACACCTCCTTTCCTGAGAAGTACTCCCACTACTCCTGCTGCTGCTCCTGCTGCATGCACCCAAGCAGGCCAAACTGGGAAACACTGGTCTAAAGGAAAGTCATTGCTTTGGACACTGGTCGAAAGGACAGACTTTGCCTCTACCAGTGATTTACAGATATATATCATTTTCTTTCCCATTCTTCTACTTCTTTTGCCACATAGTTAGTAATGGTCCTGCTTTCTGCTTCCAGCTCAAAAAATTGGTTCTGGAAGATCTTGATGACCCTGCTTTTTTTGGTATTTTTACTAGTCTGTTTTTGAGTGTCTCTATTATAATGACAATCACTAGCTTTTCATAAATTAGCAGTGCTTATTTATCAAGCCTAAGATTTCGGGAAGATGGGTGAACTGGCTGCTGCTTTACTATCAAATATTAACTCACACATAAACAAAGCCTTGAGATAAGAGAATAAAATAAGGCCAAGTTATCATAATGATGGAATAAAAATAATATAAAAAATGCCACCACATCCATTCATAACAAACCTGCATATGATTCATAACACAGTATGGGCCGTAACTTTCATGGACTTTTTCAGATTATGAGAGAAAAGATGAGGGACCTCCAAAGAATGGGGTTTTTTTTGGCCTTCTGGATAAGCTACCAGAGACTTCCCTCCATCACATACCAGCTGCAGCACAGCCTCCCAACCATAGCTGGGCTTAAACCCACATAAACTCATGTCTACACTGCTGACTGTAAATGACTGTAAATGACTGGAGACTTTAACAATTCCGGTTTGTGCTTTCCCCTTCAGGTTTTAGAGTTTATTTTATTAAACAGAAAACCAATTAATTTCTCCATCTATACAATTAAGAAATGCTCCTGAAGAAATGTTCCTTTTCCTCCCTTATGTTTCTAGTGGAATGTGTGATGAACAGGAATCGTACTTTTCTTTATACCCAAGCGTGACTCAGGGAATACTTGTTCTTACCTGCAGTTCTCAGGAAAACCTCCTCTGAGCCTCCCCGGAAAACATTACCTGAACAGAACCTTCTGTATGATGCCTATTATTATGTAGCTGGAAAATACATAGTATGTACAAACCTTTATTTAAAAAAAAGCAAACCCCCAAAAAGTTAGCTTCTATGAAGATTCTTGTTAATGATTTTAAAGTAGAAGCAAAGTGAATTTAGCCCCCAGAAGAGCATCCATTCTGCAGGTGCAGTGATGGGGTGTAATACAGAAAGTTTCTGTCAGAGAAAATAGAATAGTTTGGGTTGGAAGGGAGGGACCTTAAAGATCATTTAGTTCACAGAATCACAGAATATGCCAAGTTGGAAGGAACCCATCGGGTCCAACTCCTGACCCTGCACAGGACCATCCCCAAGAGTCACACCATGTACCTGAGAGTATCATCCAAGTGCTTCTTGAACTCTGTCAGGTTTGGTGCTGTGACCACTTCCCTGGGGAGCCTGTTCCAGTGACCAACCTCACTCTGGAGGAAGAACCTTT